CGGCGGGAGCGCTGCCACTCTCCCAAGCGGCGCACTCTCCAGTGCGCCACTGGGCCGGCCCCCTTTCTCCCTCTTCTTTAGCAACTTCCATTCCTTATATATTAGGCTACTTGAAGTCGTCCCATGGCTTTTTTTTTTTTTGTCCTTTTTGAGACCGGCCACACGGTGCTCAGCCAGTGAGTGCTGTGAGCGCACCGGTCATCCCTATATAGGATCCGAACCCGCGGCGGGAGAGCTGCTGCGCTCCCAGCGCTGCACTCTCCCCAGTGCGCCACGGGCTCAGCCCTGTCCCATGGCTTTCTGATGCTATTTTCTTTTCTTTCCTCTTTTGGATTTTTTCTGTTTTGGAGCATTTCTATTGCTATGCTTTCAAGCTCATTAATCTTTTCTTCTGCAATGTCTAATGTACACTTTTTCATGTTGATGTTGTATTTTCATGTCTAGAAGTTCGTTTTGTGACTTCTTTGTGACCTTCCATGTCTCTACTTAACTTTTTGAATATAGAAATAGCATTATGATAACAATTTTAATGTCCTTCTCTGCTAGTTCTAAAATCTGTGTAAGTTCTGGGCCAGTTTGAATTCATTGTCAGATTATTCTCATTTTGGATTCTGTCTGCTTCTTTGCATGTCTTGTTATCTTGGGATGTTAGGCTCGGTTAACTTTACCTTGTTGGATTGTTGCATATTTTGTATTCTTACAAATCTTAAACTCTGCTTTGCAGTGTAATTAAGTTACTTGGAAACAGTTTGGTCATTTTGGGTCTTGCTTTTATTTTTTTGTTAGATTGCTCTGGCTGGGGCAGTGCTCTAATTATTCTGCAATGCTTAGGCAAGACTTCCTGTGTACTTTACTCCAAGCCTGTGAGTTATGAGTTTTTCTAGTCTAGTTGCCAGGAACATGCACTATTCACAGCTTTGAGTGACAGCCAGGCAATTTACACTCTATTCCTTTCAGATGGTTCTTTGCCTGCCTCGGTGATTTCCTCATATGATAGTTTTCTTATGAGCATACACTTGTCAGGAGTCAGCAACATACTCAAGGGGGTGCCTCTGCAGATCTCTGGGGTTCTCTGCCTATGGAGATTTATATTCTTTGGTATTCAGTCCTATGAACTCTAGCTGTCTTGTTCTTTTCTTGAACAGCTCCATTTCTTCAAGTAGTCCATTGAGCTGTACCTCAGCTCCGCCTCCCTTTGCTTCGACCTGGAAATTCTCTTCAGGTAGTAATCTGGGGCAATTGTGGGGCTTGCCTTGCTTGTTTCCTATCTGTCAGGGATCACTGTCCTTTGCTTTCTGATATCCACTGCCTTGAAACCATTGTTTCATGTATTTTGACTGGTTCCTTTGGTTGTTTCAGGTAGGAGGGTAAATCTAGTCCTTCTTATTCCATCTTGGCTGGAAATGGAAGTCCTTGACAAGTTTTTTGCTTGTTTCTCTGTTCTCTCCAAACAATAGTGGTAGAAACACCCACCGATGTTTTTCCTTCAAGGGAGCATTTTCTAGGTGCCAGGACTTTACCTATGTGGTCCCAGTTTTACCTCATAATGATGCAGGATTTCTTACCCTCATCTCCATTTGACAGCTGAAAATATGAGCCCCAGATGATTGCTGGTCTGGAGTCCAGACAGGCTGTTGATCCCAAGGCTGTGTGCATCCTGTGGTTCCACAAAGTGTTGCTGCAGAGTTGCCATGGGAGCTGCCTGACCCACATAGTGAGTCTCTGGCTTCTCACTCCTTAAAGAAAAGTTCCCACTTGCAGCCTGGCTTTTGACGTGTTCATGCCTACTCACATTCTGTGTGCTGGCTTTGCTGGGCATGCATGTGTGCCTTGGTCTCATCCAGCCAGTTGACATCAAGTGAGACATGGAGTGGGATGGCCACTAGGCAGGGAAGCAGCCAGAGAGATATCAGTGGTCAAAGTCACCCAGGCCTTCTAACTCCAAGTCCAGGGCTCCTTCCCCAGACTCAGCATCATACACAGCTGGCAGGGTGGCAAAGATGAGGTCCAGAACCCAGAGGTAGGGGATGCTCAGCCCTTACCTGTGCTTGAAGATTCTGTGAATTTATCTCCTTTTCTGTGGATCAGCATCTGGACCATTTTCTAAGAAAATTCCAGCTTTCCTGATAATTCTTTAGTACACCTAAGTCATTACTTACTGATTTGCTTTCATGAAATTGACTTTTCATGAATATCAGCTGCAGCCGTTGGTGCCTAGCATGATTGGGGACCTGGGGCACAGCTCAGCTAAAATCAATGATCATGGTACTCAATTTGGAGATGACAGGTGCAAGGTGGCCTGTCTGCCAGCCCCAGGTCAGCCTGAGGTGCTGCATAGCCAGAGAAGTGACCACCACACTATGAAATGAATTTCTGCATGGGGATGGGGGTGCGGGGGATCAGATGACATCAAAAGATCGCTCCTGGCTCTGATGTTCTGTCACTGCCCACTTCAGGAGAGATCCACAGTTAGGGGTAGGAAAGTGGAAGTTAGAAGGAAAAGGCAGGGGAAGCCAGGATGGTTTGGTATCCAATGCGTGTTCATTTATTTTACAATTACAAAAGAAATTGCCCACCCCTTTGCCCCATTCCCCCCAAAAACAGTCTCTTTTTACAAACATTTAAAAATTAAAACCAAATGAAGATAGACAAGTTAATTTCAGTACAATTATTTTTCAGTGTAGCTGTCATAATTAGAGTTTAAATTTCCTACAAGTGACCAATGTCCAAGTGACTTATAGGGAAATCCTGATTATTGGCCAAAAGGAAAATTCCATATTACAAGTTAGCAAATTCTAGTACAAAAATAGTCCATGTGTTGAAACAGCTTTTCTTTTATATAGGTCTCAGTCAGTCTGCTGACTGCATAATACCTAACGTTTTCAGATTCTTGCTCTCACGAATGGCTCATTTGTCATAGCTAAAGCAGCACAGCGCCTGCAGAGGCAGGGGCTAGTGTCCACCTCGGGGCCGTGCTGGAGATGGCAGGCCTGGGAGTGCCTCACTGGCCCCAGGATAGCAAGGCAGAGCCCAGCCCCAGCTCTGCATGGAGGTCCTGGAGGGAGGGACAAGCTGCCCCTTTCTGAGGAAACATCAGACCCAGGACACAGGGCACGTCCACCTGGGCTGGTTCTGGTGCGGAACAGCACATCTCCTGCCATTGTCTCCTCCTCCCACTGCAGTCTGGCCAGGTGAGAGGTGGCCCTGGGCATTGTCGATGGCGAGAGTATGGCCCCGCCCTTGCTGCAGCCAGGACAGGCTAGGGCAGGCTACTTGTCCCTCAGGATATCGAGCTGTTCCTGACACTCGGTGAAGAGGCGTTGGAAACGGAGATTCTGCCCGATGACTGGCAGCAGCTCCTTCAGCAGCTCCCTCTTCCGCAGACCCTGTGGACACAGGAGTGACAGCTGAGTGAAAGTGTCAGTGAGGAGACCTAGATTGTGGGGACTTCCCTGGTCTGGCAGAGACCCTTGTGTCTGCCCTTTAGAGAAACCACAAAGTGAAAAGAACAATTCCTCTTCACGTGAGAAAGCCCAGGAGACCTGAAAGGCTGGGCTGGCTATGTGTGCAGGGCAGAGTGGCAGGCGGAGGAAAGCAACACAGCGCAGGGGCAAGGGAGGATAAGGCTAGGGTAGGTTCTGCCCCTCCGTCTGCTTGAAGTCTGTTGGCACAGTCACTGCTGACCTTCTACTGAGGGAACAGCGGCTGCAGTGGCTTGGCTTTCCAGGGCAGGATGAAGTGGAATAGCAAAGTTGAAGATCAGGTGAATGGCTACTGGGGAGGGGCTGCTCTCTCATTCTGATGCTCTCCAGGGGTGTGAGGTCAAGCCCTGGAACGAACAGGTGCCTGGTGGGCAGTGACCGACTTTAGCTTTAGTTCTGGGGCTCTCTACCCTTGGCTCTAGCCCATACTTCTTCCACGCCTGGGCACACTGGCACCAGGGTGTTTAACACACACTGCCAGGCAGGGTCTCTACTGCACAAGCCAAAAGAGCAGACTCCTGAGTACAGCTGCCTCAAAGAGAAAACCAGACAGACAACATTTACCACCAGAAGAGAAGGCCCTTGATTTAAAAATAAGTGTGACAGATACACTTGCAACAAGACCAGAAATGACAGAAAAGAACCAAGTGTAAATTTAGGTTTGAGCAACACAGTGGTTGAAGCAGATGGGAAAAGCAGAAGAATGGCTCTGTTGAAGACCAAGTCAGAGCAGGGAGTCAAGTCAGATGGAGGAGCAGCCATACTCCAAAAGGGATGCAGAAGGGAGGAGAAACTGTACAGGAGAAGGAAAGGCAGACCGGGACAGCAGATGGGTGCAATGTCTGCATGATAGGGTCTTCCAGGAGAGAGAGAAAGAAATATTTGAAGAAATAATACAGGGAGAGTTCACACAATTAAAGAAAAATGAATGGCTTTAGATTGAAATGCCCCACAGAGTGCTGATCAAGTAAGATATGGAAAAACTGATATCTAGACACATTAAAATAAAATATACATAATTTTAGGATATCAAAGATAGAAAAATTCTGAAAACTTCTAAAGAATAAGAACATATCACCTGGGAAGATACACCAAGATTCACAATAAAATAGTATTTCTAACATGTTGGAAAAAAATCCCATAACCATAACCTTTAATCCAGCCAAACCACTATTCATATATAAGGGTATAATAAAAATATTCTTAGGCTTACAGATCTCAGAAGGTTTGCCACAGGAAAGACCCAGCCTGAAAATGTTTTGGAGGAAATACTCCAAGAGATAAATCCAGAAGATACTAAAAGAGGTATAGAAAACAATATGATTAGCTCTCTTCCTAAAGTTTATGCTGGTCTTAAAAAAAACAAGCAAAAAAAAAAATGCAAATGGACTGAACTTGGAGATGAAAAAACAGCTTGTCAGATTAGATAAAACAAAAGCCAGTAATATTATGTGGAAATTAAACAAAACAATGGAAACAACCAATGATTCAAAGAAATCAAAAGGGAAATTAAAAAATACTTTGAGACAAATGAAAATGAAAACACAACATACCAAAACTAATGGGATGCAGTGAAAGCAGTGATAAGAGAGAAGTTTATAGCAGGAAATGCTTATATGAGAAAAGAAAGATCTCAAATCAACAACCTAACTTTACAACTTAAGGAACTAGAAAAAGAACAAACTAAAGCCAAAGTTTGCAAAGGAATGAAGTAAAAACATTAGATCAGAGATAAACAAAATTGAAAATAGAAAAATATAGATAATGAATGAAACCAAGAGTTGGTTCTTTGAAAATATCAACAAAATCGACAAACTTTTAGTTAGATTGTCTAAGAAGAAAGGAGGATCAAATAATGAAAATCAGAAATCAAAGAGTGGACGTTACAACCAATTTCACAAAAATAAAAAGGATTATAAATAAGAGAATGCTATGAAGAATTGTATGCCAACAAATTGGATACCCTAGATGAATAAATGAATTACTAGAAACACACCTGTCAAGAGTCAATCATGAAGAAATAAAAAAATCTGAATAAACCCATAACTGGCAAGAACATTGAATCAGTAATCAAAAACCTCCCAACAAAGAAAAACCTAGGACCAGATGGCTTCTCTGGTGAATTCCACCAAACATTTAAGAAGAATTAACACCAATCTTCCACATACTCTTCCAAAAAATTGAATAGGAGGGAACACATCCACACACCAAAGCCAAACAAAGACACTACAAGAAAACTACAGACCAATATACCTTGTGAACATTGATGCAAAAATCCTCAACAAAATACCATCAATTAGAATCCAGCAGCACATTAAAAAAGTTATACACCAAGACCAAGTGGGATTTATACCTGGAATGCAAGGATGGTTCAACATATGAAAATCAATCAATGTAATACACATTAACAAAATAAAGGAAAAAACACCACATGATCATAATTGATGTAGAAAAAGCATTAACAAAATTCAATTCAACACCCTTTCTTGATGAAAACACTAAACAAACTATGCATAGAAGAAAATGTTTTCAACATAATAAAGGCCATATATGAAAAGCCCAGGCTAACATTATACTCAATGGTGAAAGACTGAAAACTTTTTCTCCAAGATCAGGAACAAGCCAAGGATGCTTGTTTTTGCTACTTCTATTTAACATAGCACAAGAGGTCCTATGTAGAGCACTTAGTCAAGAAAAAGAAATAAAAGGCAAACAAGTTGGGAACAAAGAAGTAAAATTATCTCTGTTCACAGACAAGCTGTCATATACAGAAAACTAAGGATTCCACAAAAAACTTGTGAGAGCTAATAAATTCAGCAAATTTGCAGGATATAAAATCAACACACAAAAATCAACTGCATTTCTATACACTAACAAGGAACAATGCAAAAATGAAATTAAAAAAATTTTATCATATGGCCGGCCCGGTGGCGCACTGCTACAGTGCGCCGCTTGGCAGCGCGGCGGTGCTCCCGCTGAGGGTTCGGATCCCACATACAGACCGGTTCCCACTCACTGGCTATCATATGGCCGGCCTGGTGGCGCACTGCTACAGTGCGCCGCTTGGCAGCGCGGCGGCGCTCCCGCCGAGGGTTCAGATCCCACATACAGACCGGTTCCCACTCACTGGCTGGGCGAGGTGTGGGCACGACACCGAGGGTTGCGATCCCATTGCCGGTCCCGGTCCGGTATGGGCGCAACACTGAGGGTTGCGATCCGTTGCCAGACACGAAAAAAGGAAAAAAAAAAATTCTATCATAGTATCAAAAAGAATAAAATACGAATAATCTTAATCAAGGAGGTGAATGACTAGTACACTGGAAGCTATCAGCATATCTGTGATGTGTGATAGTCTCCTAAAATATTTTCTACAAGGTGCAAAATGACAAAATGATTTAAGAGGGAAGATGGCTCATAAGTCCATATGATATGTGGTAAGTGAGATTTCAGAAAAGTTGACTACTGTGAACTAAAGAGTCATGCAGCCATGATTTTTGCTTATATGTTCTTCATTCAAGGAAACCATAGGCATATGTACACAGTGGGGCCCTAATTGAGCACCTCAGAAAGACATAGTAAATGGAAAGAAATTCCATCTTCATAGGTTGGAAGATTTAATACTGTCAAGATGTCAATACTACCTAAAGTGCAATCCTTATCAAAATCTCACTGGCCGTTTTTATGGAAACAGAAAAATCCATCTTAAAACTCAAATGGAATCTCAAGGGACCCCAAGCAGGCAAAACAATCTTCAAAAAGAACAAAGTTGAAAGCCTCATACTTTCTAATATCAAAACTTATTTTTAAAAATTTTAAATTAATTTTTAAAATTAAATTGGTCTGGAACACAGCTCATCATCACCTCTCTGGCCAATGCTACAGGTCCTACATGAAGACCTCAGCAGAGGGAGGTTTCCTAAGAGCAAGGCCTAGCTGGGGAGACCATGGCTAGCACAGAGCCCAGGCATCTGAAGGGTGGTAGCTTAGTGCTCTAACCCTATGCTTCTCCCTCCTGTGCACACTCAGCCAGGATCCTTGAGGCTGAAAGAAGCCTGGACCTTTGGAGTCCTCAAGGTACATTGGCAGCTCAAACCACAGAGTATATAAAGTTTCTATAATATATAAAGAGTTCCTACAAACCAATAAGAAAACCAAATGACAACAAAGTATTTCAACAGATAGTTCAAAGAAAAGGAAATACAAGTGGCTCTTAAATATATGAAATGATATTCTCCTAATAAACCCTCTTGGGAAGGATGCTGGTTGGAGTCCACCCTCCATCCATAGCTGCATTTCCTGTTATCTCAATGACCAATTCCACTTGAATGACCAATTTTCACCATTAAAGTGTTCACAAAGAAACTCAACAAGAGAGCAGTGAGCTCACACTTAATTTCCTCCTCTGCCCCCAGTATCTAGATGAAAAGACAGTAAAAATATAAAAGAAAAAAACAGGAATAAATTCAGAACACTGCTGAAGTCAGGAGAGGATGTGGCAGACACTGAGAGTTGGCTATGCCCACTTCTGCTCCAAGGCCTCTTCTACATATTTCTTTACAGAGGCAGAAAAGTTGCTTACTTTTTCTTAAATGGTTGCCTGTGAGGCATGGGCTAATTCCTGGGAAACCTTTTCTTTTCCTACTGAGAGGGATAGATATTGCTGGTACCGGCTTCCTCCTGTTCTCCCTCCTTAAACTTGGATATGAAAGCCATCTTATGACCATGAGGGAAAGGTCAGGAGAATCACAGAGATATAGGCTGCCATTTACCTCCAGATAACTTGTTTTGGAGGAGAGAAAAAAACCTATTTCAGCCATCATCAGATGAGTTATTATTTACCTGAAGCTGAAAGCATTTGTCATTGACACAGGGGGCCATGAGCAGACCAGTATTTTAGGCAGTTTATACAAGGTAGAAAGTTGGTGGGAACACACTGATGGGCGACTCTGGGAGGGGAGCCACAGGTTCTCCTGGGTAAAGCCTCAGTAAGGTGTCCTGCTTGTAGTTGGCAAGAAGCAGCAGCTGGAAGGAGGGGAAAGGAGAACTCGTGGTGCCTAATTGGTAGCCTGTTTGAGGATCCTTCCCTCTACACCAGCAATGGCCCACAGCACTCACTTTCAGGCTGAGACAGAGACTGCTATGGTGAACTTTGGCTGGTGTCTCAGGCTAAGGCTGCCAGAGTTGAGCTGGGTCACAGAATGAAAGCCTGCAACCTGGCCATGAGTGGGGTTGGTTGGGCAGGTGCCTGCCTGTCTCCCACCCAAGCAGATGGCCCTGGAGGTGAGGTGTGCTGGGGAAACAGCTCTGCTCTTGCAAAGGAAACCTGAGCCAGCTACCAACCCAGGTTCTTCACTTGTAACTACAACCTGACAATCAAGGATCCCCAGATGAATAGGAGAAAATGTCCGAAAGTAAAGACCACAAGGAACAAATCAAAAAGTGAACCTAGAGGGCCAGCTTGTGGCTCACGCGGGAGAGTGCGGTGCTGATAACACCAAAGCCATGGGTTCGGATCCTATATAGGGACGGCCGGTTAGCTCACTGGCTGAGCATGGTGCTGACAACACCAAGCCAAGGGTTAAGATCCCCTTACTGGTCATCTTTAAAAAGAAAAAAAAAAAAGTGAACCTAGAAAAGGCAGGTAATTTAGGGAACAAGTTACCTCAAAAATGTTCTAGTTAGAATCTGCAGCTGCTATCTGAGAAGATATTACAAGCTTTTCCTTCCAGTAACAGACCAGGCAATTCAGAACAATCTTCTCTGCTGAGAACAGGAAAAAAAGCTAGACAAGAAGCAGAGCTCAAAGAGCTAACATGTTAATGACTAGTGACTGAGCCATGGTGTGGGAAAGGCAAGAATCCAGAGAGGGATGCCTTTGCTTTGGAAATATTTATTGATAAGGAAGAGTCTGAGCAGAGTGTGGACCAGACTTGAGGGCCTATGGGGACAAAGGCTGGGGCTAGGGTCCAAGAACAGTGGGGTCCCTACTAATGTACACCTCTTTTGTGCTGATATCCCAAAGGAATGCACCCTAGAATAAGGGTAAACTGGAAAGAAACCAATCCCTGCACCAACTAGTGCCCAGCTTTGAGTCCCAGGCAGCCCAGAAAACTTTGATTCCTGAACTGGAAGGGAAAATATTATCAAAGAGTATAAAAGAAAATTACTGTCTCTGTGTTTCTGTTTCCACAGAATGAATAAAAGATACAGACTTAGAGCTTCGTGAATCTTCAAAACACCAAAATAAGATCCCCAAAGTACTTATAAAAGCAATGGAAATCAGATTTATATCAGGCTTTTTTGAACAACACTGGATGCTAAAAGTCTATGGAACAATACCTTCGAAGATCTAAGTGGAATTGATTTTGTACCTGAGACTCCATTACCCAACCAAATTAAGACATATTGCAACGCAATTTTATAAAGGTTTAAATAATATAGGAGGCCACTGCACACACAAAGGTCTTCAAAGTCTTGTAAGGACTGACCCTCTGATCTTTCAGATCTTAATTCCTTTCACCCTCTCGTCACCACTCTGCTCGGCTGTTCTTTCACATTCCAAGCTCTTCCACATCAGGGCCTTTGCACTTGCTATTCCCTCTGTCTGGATGTTCCCCCAAATATATGCATGGCTTCATCCCTCACCTTTTCTGGTCCCTGCTCAGTAATTCAGTTAGTCTTTGCTTGATCACGCAATATGAAATAGCATCCCACCAGTACCCCTGCCCTCTTTATTTTCTTCCAGAGCACCCAACATCACCCAAGACACTATATACACTTACACATTTGCTTACAGTCTGCTTCTCTCCACAAGAAAACAAGAAAGCAGGGAGTTGTTCACTGTTACTACCCCGTGCCTAAAACATACCTGGCCAGAGCAGGTGCTCCATCAGTAATTGCTGAATAACCCAACGAAACTGTGAACTAACTCTTGTCTCCACAACTTCTCCCATCCCTCACCATCTCTGCCAGCCAAAAAAAATCTGGAGGCGACCATGTGTTCATTATTCTCTTCCTTCCACATCCAACCACTCAGCAAGTCTTGCTGGTTCTGCCTCCAAAACACATGCTGAATCTGTCTCTGTTCCCCAGTCATGGCCACCACTGATCCAGTTGCCTTCATCTGTTCCTGGGACTGTTGCAAAATACACACCCTAACTGGTTTTCTATTTCAGTTCACATCACCTCTGCACCAACTCTTTCAACACTCCCGCTGCCCTAGAAGAAAACTCTACCTTCTCACAAGGTCTCTATGGCCTATGTCCTGCTCATCCCTCCTGCCTCATCCCACACCCTGTACTATTTCCTCCTATATGCCCTCTCACTGACACCGGGACTCAAGGCAGTGCGCTGCAGAAGTCCAATGGGGAAGAATTTCAAAGCACTTTGGCTTATTTTAAAAATCTCTACTTTCACGTTTCAAGAGAGAATCTGTGCGGCAACAATGAAAGAAGCACCTACCACTACTGTGGATTCCCACTGGCTTCCGGTGGAGTAGTGAACCGGACCCAGTAAGTCCTTGCATATTTCTCGGAGTCGGTATTCAAACCCTAATTATAGAAAAACAACAAAACAAAAACAGAAATAAGAACACATTACAAAAAGAAATAAAAAATCAAGAATATGCTAAGTTGTGTATATCAAAATAGAATGAACAAATGCTTATTTTATTGCCTACTATGGGCAAAACGCCTCTGAGTGTCTCTAGTTTGGGGCACTGAGACCCATAATCACAGATTCTCACTCACCCTCTCCCCTGACAACATATGCAGCATCCCCTCTGTATGCTAGGCCCACAGGAAAAACAAGCCATAGCCAGTTCTGTGACAAACTCCCCAAGGTGATGGGAAAACATGGGAAATTGTGGCAGGAGGGGAATGGGCTGGTGAAATCTGTTTGGGAGATGACAGGCTGGCATCTGGTGTGAGAGGAGATCAGAAGGGTAGGAGGCCCACAAGAGGTAAGAGGTGGTAAGGGTATGACTGAGTAGTGGTGCCTGAGTGGATGAGTCAACTCAAGGGTTATGGGCACTGCCGGGTGGAGCTACCAGAAAGGCTGGAGGCAGAGTCTGCGAGGTTTGTCGGCACTTGGGGGCAGTTAAAGCCATAGGGAATGCATGAAATCACCCAGATAAAGGAGGAGAATAAGAGGGATGAAGGTGGAATCTGAGAAATATTGGGAGTGAATGGGGTCTCACATTAACACTTGACTCCTTCTTATACAGCTCAGAAAACCAAGGGACAGAGGGAGGGGGTGACTCGTGTATGGAAACTGGAACAGACGTGTAGAAGATGGAGAAAGAGAAGCAGGTGACAGAAGTGATCTCACAAATGGGTGGCGGGGGCCTAGAGGAGACAGGGACTTTATGTGGGCATCCAGGCGAATCCTGATCAACACCCAGGATGAGGCAAACCAGAGAGGAGTGAGAGGAGGGGTATCCTGGGAGATGGGGTATGAGGCCCAAGATGTGACCAGAACACCTCTGGAAAGGTATGAGGGCTTGGGAAGGTTGAGTATTTAGAAAAGCCGATGACCACACATAATGGGCAACCACATAATCCTGGTGGGAGGAGTCCACATGAAGTATATCACTGGAGTCCTCTGGGGAGGGAAGCAGGGCTTTGAGTTGATCAGGAATGTTTGTTGTCATTACAAGTGTATACACACACATTCATATTTACATAGTTGGAGGCATATGTGACATTTTAGTTCTGGGAATTACATTTGTAGGGGTGTGAGGAAAATGGGGTAGTTTAGTCAGGCCTCCTCACTTCAGGTCCGGCTGGGTGTGGTACAGCACATCCTTTGTAAACAAGTTGTGTGAGAGTAGAGTTAGTGTGCATGTGCGCCCGTGTACCCTTTGGCTTGTTGCTATTTTTGTGTGCTCTTCAGTGTGTGAGGCAGCAGCTCTGAACTGCTGGTTGGCAGAGCTCGTGTCTAAAAATAAAGCCTATTGTTTCTTCACCCACGGCTCCAAGGACCTTTTCCTGTTACCTAGCTTGTAGACCTGCATGTGAATGGTTGTGACCCAGTCTGGACAACAGGCTCAAGGGGTCTGTGAGACCTAGCCCTAGCTTTACAAGGGGTTTGGTATGTTTTCCTCTGTCTTTTCTGTTCTTACATTTTTTCCCTCTAAATTGTAATCAAAATGAGGAAGATGATGACCAAAGCAAAGCAAAAAGGGCAGGAAAGGCTGTGGAGGAGGCCACTCTGTGACCAGGCCTGGTGCTGTGTAGTGACACAGGGAGAGCTTTGGGCCAGCCAGTCCCATGACATGGCCCCTGGAGGCCAATCTCGAGTGGGAGAAAGTGCTAGTAAGGCACGACTCCACACTTGTCCAGTGGAAGGATGAAAGGCTGCTAGAGGTCACCCCAAGAACAGCATAACCACCTCTTCCAGCACACCTTGCTTTCTGTGGGGGATGCTGTGGAAGGGCACAGGTGCTATGAGAGCCACGGCAGGGAGCTCCTAGTCTGGAGGGCCAGAAGACTCAGAGAAGAAACAGAAATGCTGCCAAAATTCGCCCTCCCCGGGGTGACTGTCTCGCTGAGTATCAGTGCTGCCAGGGTGTGGTGGAGGGCAGGAGCCAAAACACGGAGTCTGCTCCTTTAGGGAATGTCTTCCCACACACGTGCTACCTCTTCCTCCTTGCTGCCAGTTCTTCTGCTCCTCTGAGGGAACATCCTCAGGCCACTCTATTCAGGGCCTCAGAACCCATAATGGGGCTGGGTGCCTGCTCAACTGCCCTGATCGCAGCTCTTACTGGGAGGAGGGGGGCTGAGGGATCCACCTCGCTGACAGGGGAGCAGGAAGCCAGGACCTTGGGGGATGACCATGGGTGCCCATGAGGAATGCACGAGAGTTCAGAAAGCCCCGGGCCACCACACCTCTTCCCTGATTCATGGGAACTGAGCCAGGCCTGGGAGGATGAAGGGGCCGAAGGAGAAGGTCACTCAGGGCTGCCAGGAACCTCACCTTCATTCACAAGGTACCGTGCATAGAGGAGGAGCCAATGGCGGTACTCGTGGCTGGACTGCAGGGTGAGTGCTGCTGCAACCTGGTTCTCTAGGTAGGCCAGGGTGGTCTCCTGCTGCACCACATGAGGCACGGAGAAGAGCCGGGCAGCCTGCCTTCCCGAGCTGCAGAGATCGGCAGAGCACGCATGATGAGGTAGCGGGTACTGTACGGAGGCTGGAGGCTGCTCCATGTGCTCCTGGGCACTGGCGAGGAGCCAGCAGGGGTGGCTGGCACCAGGGCTGCCCAAGGCCTCCCATCCATCAGCCAATCTGGTGGCAAATGCCACAGACTCCTTGGCCTGCCCATCGCCATATCCCAGCCATGGACCTCCTGGCACCCCATGAGAATCCCACCCTGCACCTGCATCTAGGCCCCTGAGATGATAAGCCAGTGACCCATTCTCCACGCCCAAAATACTGCCTTCCATTGCCTTCCATGACCCTTTGCACCCTTGGACTGCCATCTGGGCCCCTGAAGTAACAGGGCCTGTGTCCTGGCCACCCCCTGAGATATAATCTGATGCTGGCCAACAACTCTTGGCACCCACAGCCTGCCCCGCCCAGCCTGCCTGTGCTGAGCAGCTGCTGGGGCAAAGTGGACAGGCAGAGACCAGGCCTAGGTGGACTGTGCTTGTACCAACCCAGTCACTTCCTGGGGCAGGACTACTGATAGTGGCCACAGTTATCAGGTCACGTACTTGGAAGTGCGGCCCTGGATTATGGCTAACGGTCCTGAGCACAGCATGGCGTCCTGGGATGGCAGGCTGCTCCTAAAGTCTGCACACTGGGCCAGTGAGTCTTGCTTGTCAGAAACCAGGTTCCTGAGGAGGCAAAGGCAGGAGCAGAGCTCAGGAAAATCAGGTCTACTAGAGGCTGGCCAGGAGGCCACAGAGAAGCAAGCCCCACCCGATACAGGCAGAAAGCCAGCAGAGGCTGAGTGCCATTGCTTTCAACACAAGTGCCCATCCCTGACAGGTGTCATGGTAACGGGCCTGATAAGTTATTGTTCCAAATGAAAACTGAATGATAGTGAAGGTGGCTGATTGGGTCTTGCTGTGGACATTTCAGCACCACAGTCTTGGTGCTGGTTCCAGATGCCTGGCTCACACACTGCCATGGTTTACTCAGGGGCCCACATGGTCTGGGACCTCTGGCCTCCCTGTGCTTCTACAATGTTCCCAGGCAGGCAGTTCTTCCACCTTCTCTAGACCCTTCACATCTTTGTTAAGAAAACATTCTTCGAACATTTTAAAAATAGCTGGGTGCCTTTGTAAGTGTGTCTAAGATACAAAGATGCCTATAAAGAGTCAACATTTCTCTTCTTAAATAATAAGCCTTTTTCTGTTATAGTAATCTCGTATAATACACAACATTTTGCAGTTTGGGAGAGCAGGTGGTGGAGATTTCTTTTCACTCAAGAAAGAAATCTCAGTGTGAGTATAAACTTGGCTCTTTGCAACTATGAATGGAAAAGGGGCTAGAAGGTAACAAGCCTTGGTTCTGATGGACCAAGGGTGTAGGCCAGAAGAGAAGAATTTCCTGGAGTGGCTGGGATACAATTTACACATTTCATATGCCTGGGTTAAGATCTCTGATGCATTAAGAGATTTTGCAAATACAGAAAAGGGCTCTAAATTCCAAACTGGGCAGAGAAAAAGTATGAATCATCACAGCTGGGTGAGTGAATCTGCACCCTTACTAAGTCATTAAGTCTGAAGTGTTACTAAGCTTACAGAAATCGACTAGTGATGGCAAGGCTACTCTGGAGATGAAGATCTACGCCTACGCTGAAGATGGCAAAAGAGGTCAGCCTGGATACATATCAAGATCCACAAAAATTTTTAAATGCCTATTCCAAAAAAAGTGGCTCCAGAAAACAATGCAGAAGGACAGAGCCCCTATGTAAAAGCTCTGAGGGTAGAGGCCATGGGCCACGGTGTCCACAGGGACAGGGTGGAATGTGCTGGCTGTCACTGCGGCCTGCACTCCAGGATCTGAGCCTTTGTGCTGCTGTCCAGAGCAGATGGACACTCTCCAAGGTAGCAGGGCTGGGGGCGGCTTGCTTACCACGTAGAAAGTGATGGATTAAAGCAGTATGCCTTCCCATCAGACAGGTTCATCACTGGGATTCCATGCTGCGTCAGCAAGATCTGTGATACCGTCATGTCACTTCCTGGGGGACAGCACAGGAATAAGTTCTGGGTGTGCTCTGATCAGCAAATGTTTGCACATGCATCAAAGGAGAAATCTGAACACCAGCTCCCACGGCCCCAGCAACAAGTGCTTTAAGGCCAACTCAGCAACAGGGGGACAGGAGAGCTGCTAAGTGCTATGTGGAAGTCATTCTCAATACCACCTGCCAGGCTCTGTCACCTCTTGGGGACTCATTCAAACATGCCCTGGAGAGCGAGTGGACCCCCTGCCTCATTGAGAGCCTCTGGCTGTGCCCAGAGCCTGGCTCTCCTCTGGGCTACATGGGGCCCTTTTGCATCAGACTTGGGACTCAGGCTCCCCAGGGGAGGAAGGGCAGCCTGCTGCTTGGGTTACCTGCCAAGATGGAGTGTAGAGACTCTTCTTTCACCACAACCACCTGCCTGTGAACATCCCTAAGAGGAAGACAGGGAATAGTTTACTTTCTAATTGGGGCAAATGTGTCATAGAGAGTCCTCGGTTGCTCAGACACCCTGGTCCCTGCATGCACCCCCAGCCCTGGCCTCTCCTAGTGAGAGGGGCTCTGGGCCAACAGTGGTTTCTGCTCCCCACATGCTACTGCACTCCCTCTGCCAAAGTCTATAGCAGAGGGCTCAGGAAACAGAGCGCCATGCAGACTGCCCCCAATGCCCACACCACTCTGGGAGAAGCTAGGCCACAGCAGCCACACCAGGAGTGTGGCCACACTCTGACAGGTGAGATCCCATTTCTGATGAACGCTACATAAGGATCCTGGCACATGCAATTAGGCAGTGCAATTTATCACGTGGTCTGCTCCTGTAAGGGTGACAACAGGGTAGGCATGTTGCCTCACCTCACCTTGCACACCCTCCCTCAGCCCTCGCCCACACAAGCAACATCGCTGACTGCTCAGAGCCTCCTCTAGGGCCTGATGGCTGGCCTTCTCCACTACCTGCCCTGCCCCTGCAGTGAGGTGGGACCTGCACAGCCTTGCCCTTTCCCATCTGGAGCCTGCCCCACCCCGCACCTGCCTCTTACCAGACAGACAGTGTGGCCGCAGCAGTGAGAGCCATGACGTAAGAGCCTGTGCAATGCAATGTGGAGATTGGGGATGGCAGGAGGATGGGAGGGAGGAGGCGGCGACCACAGGTGGAGAACACTGACAACATCCTCTTTTCACAGGCAACACATACCACGTCACTGAGAAGGCAGAGGGAGGCAGGTGTCATGGGGGCTGGGTACTGCCAGAGGCAGCTGCTCTGGGGCAGGGCAGGGATGGCGGGGTTGCCAGAACCTGGGAGCCGGCCTGAGATCTCAGATGAGAGTGACTTCTGTCCTCCTCCTGCCTACAAGGCTGCTTGGAAGGGTGTCGGGGCTTTGGAGGGCCACCACACTCGACGGTCACTCAGGAAGCATGCCTTGCTCATCAGATAAAACCACATAGAGCCCACATGACCGTCTCCTGGCCACAACTAGCCAGTCCAGTCCTGAGAAGGCTTCTGCTGAGGCAGGCTGGGAGAAATGTGGGGTCACTGGTATGCCTGTCTACAGGGGAAACCAGCTGTGCACTCAGAAGGCTGTTTTGGCTGGGGTGGGAGAGGCGTATCACTCCCTAGACAAGGAGTGCCTCTAAGGAGAACACCTGTCCAGTGTCTCCCGAGTGACCACCAGGGCCCTCAGGTGGGCCCAACAAAAGCAGGCTGCTGCCTTCTCAGTGAGGGCCCCCCGCAGGCCCAGCCACAGGCCCAGGGTGAGGCTGTAGTTCAGACCCCAGTCAGTAGGAGCAAATGTGCAGCCAGCACAGCGAGATCCTGGCCATAGCAGACAATCCAAGAGCCCTCCTTTGTGTCACTCCTATCCTGCTCAGCTAGGGCCTTGGCCTGCATGGGCGTGGCCACCCCCTCCCCTCAGGAGGCTTACAGGAAGAAGGTTGGCTAAGGAAAGAGCTCTCACAACTGCCTTTCTAATGAGACACTGTTGTTATTGGCTTCTGAAAAGGGAGAGGAAAGTGAGATGTTTTTGTTTACAAATGTTCATTTTGAGAGTATGAATCAGAGAAGAACCTGCTGCAGGACCCAGCAGCAGGGAGCTCTCTGTGGAGCTGTGACTGAATTCTGGCCGTTTAGCTCTGATGGTCAGAGCCTTCCTCAAGCCAGCCCACAGCTATAATTCTGGGGCTGCAGCACTGGGGAACAGGCCTATAGACTGGGCCTGGGCTGGAGGGACTGTGCAGACAGAGAGGTCCCAGGTTGCCCTGCAGGCCTCCCTAACGGCTACTGCGTCGACATGGGAGGGCTGTGCTGACATCCCTTAGCCCCCAGCTGGCACATTGCCACCTTCCTTGGGATTGGGAGCTCAACCTGCTCATCCTAAGGGAGAATGCACAGAAGGAACAGAACAGTGGGGTCCTTCTAGGCCTAACACCAAGGCCCACGGGAATCCTGACCTAAGACCTAAGACCAAGTGTTTATAGACACATGTGAAAGCATTCACATGTGGCTACATGCTAGATGATAAAGGGTCTAACTAAAATGGCTGTATCTGAGCAATCATCTTTGTAAAACTCTGGTAATAGTATCTACCACATGGTCCTGACTGCAGCCCTATGCCTGGCGGTCAGCTGAGGAAAATGCTGGTCCTCTTTCCAGATTGAGTGCAGGCATGGACAGAGCTCATGTACAGTTCCAAGAGCCCCTGGGAAGACATTGGGAGACTAACCACTAATCAAGGTCTCTCCCCAAAGAGCAGAATCTGGGGAAGTCTGGGATGGGGACTTAGGGAACAGTCAGAAATTCATCCTGACCATTTTGGAAAATCTGGGGTTCAGAGAAAGAACCAGCCCAGGTCAAAGAGAGCCAGGCAGACCTTAGCCTGGAACCTGAGACTCTGGGGATCTGGGCAGACAAGGGAATCAGATCACCAGGTTCAAAGACTGGCTTGGGTAACCCTTGAGGGCTCAGTTTCCCTATATGTAACATAACACGGGGATAATGATGCTGACTTCTTTGGGTGTTGCAGGGATCGAGATGACAAATGTACATGTGTGGCCTGGAGTAAGGTTTGGTGTGAGCCTCCATGGGAGCCAGCACTTGAGGGGCCTTGCACCTTCCCGGACGGTAATAGTGCAACACATCACAGCAGGTGGTGCCTGCTTTCCATGAGAAGCCAGGCCAGGCTGAGGTCCCCGCCCC